TCGCAATGAACCGCATCTTCAACACATTGAGATTGCACATGGATTGCCGAAGTCGTTAAGAAGCTATTAGGTACAAATTCTTTTTTCATATTTTCTTTCGTCACGGTCTCAAGATTGTTTCGAAACGAAGTTGTCCACATCATCTCGACGGAAAATAGGTTCTAGCAATTGGTAATTCAAGCAATCGCCAATTTAGCAGTCCTAACCCTGATGCTGAAATATAGTTCCCTGGGGTTTTTCGTTCAGTACGCGATATGTTCCCACGTACACGAGAAGACTTTGGAATTCCTCGATAGACCCTTAGAAGGAGGTAATCCGGCAGAAGGAAACTCTGGGTACTTCTGGCCAGAGGGTCCGAAGACACATGGCAATTTTGATTACCTCACTTCAGAGCGCACCAAATGACTCGGGCATTGATATCTCTTTCGTATCTATTTAGGGAATGGCAGTACGTTAACCGGCCTGCGAGGGTGTGCTTAACTTTCCTCCTGCGTGGGAGATAAAATAGGTGATGCTAGGCGCGTAACTCCCTCGCTGGACAGAATCAATTGCGTTGTTCAAATACTAAACTCGAGTTTTGATCAAGTTAAAGAAGGTACAACCTCAGAAGGACCCTTCCTTGGAATAACAACACTCATTAGAGTACTCTAGAGCTCTATTCAATATTAGCGCGCGTCAAGGCTAAAAAAATGGGGGATAATACCCAATCTTCGACAATTCAACGCTTGCACAACGGGACACATGATCGAATCAACGTTGCTTTATTACAAAATTGCGGCAGCATGGAATCCCCCTTTTACCCACCGTTGTGGCAACATAGCTACGTTGAAAAATCAACCCTCTCTCAACCTTGATCAGACGTTCTTGGCCGGATGGGTTAGCTTACCAATTATGGAGTCTACAATTGGTAAGAGAAGAATATCATTGCGGCTGAAATTACGTGTATGTAGGACATGCTCATGGCTGTCTGATTCCGTTTTAGTTCTGTCCCACGGCCCCCTCACGGACACGTAACAGGTTTTTTCATGAGTTTACAGTGTTTTTCTTCTGAGGAAAATTATTCCATTATCGTGGCACAAAATTGTCTACAGAGAAACAGCTGGATGATGCCCTCGGGCCGAATATCGTAGGAGAAAGCGAATTGCGCGTGGAACTCATAAAGCTGTGAATCCCTCTTGCCCTCCGAGTACCGAGGCCGAATGTTCTCACCTACGCTGAGCAAATGAGACAGATTCCGAATACGATCATTGGTAAAGAAGACATTAGGCATTGGCTAGGCCTCAGGCAGTTAGCAAGTACGTTCAACTGTGATTATTTTCCAACGAGGAAAAAAAATTTCTTTCCAGCAATTGTGATCCAGTGAACACAATCGAAATTCACTGTCTAATCATTCCGTGTGTACACGGGCTTTCGACTAGTTCAGCATATTAACTTCCAATGAAAATTGGGGGGCTAGGCTTTTCAAGGCAGACCAGGAGCGGAACGGAAGGGCTCAGGGACACAGGGAACGGACTTGGGATATTGGAATTGTAACTGCTGACATTTGGTCGCAATTCTTCTCGGAAGAAAAGGCTTGTCATCCACGACATGGCGTAGTCGGCCTAACATCGACCAAGAGGAAAGTCACGCTTTTCATCACTCATTGCCATAGGTGAACCCTCTACTGGAGTAGATTTAACCCATCTATGTTTGTCTAAGCGGGAGTGGACCGACTCAGTATTTCCTTGCCGGCTTGCAACTTGATTGAACAGAAACCTATCGGCGAACGGATCGCTGCGATTCATCTCAGGAGGAGCGAGTTTGGGGACTTGGCTTGAGTCATTTAGGACTACGGATCCAATGGCAAGTCGGACTATGAAGCGTTTCTCGAAGAAGTAGATAGGGTTCTACAAGGAATCTCGAATGGCGATCTCAAGGATTGGGTCCTAGCTAGTATGTGATCTTCGCCCTTATATTTATCGGGATCCCGACCCCTTTATTGATCGGAACACAGTTTTCGCATTAATCAGCACTTTTTCCAATTGTTCACAACCCTGTCCGCATCGTCCGTAAAGTCTATCTCTACCACTTTTCATGCAAGCCTATGAGTGAAAAATGCGGATATGGAAACGGGATGGTAACGACACGATCAGCGGCGTCCTTGCGATCGAAGGATAAGCATTCTTGCTCTATCCCACCCAGATGGGATCCCGATGTTATCACCCTTCGGATCTCATACTCTCCTTCGCGCGGGGAAAACGGGACTGTAAGTGTTGTACGGGGGTTTTCCCGCGTGAAAGTTCATATCAAGGTATGAACACCCCTTAGCTAGGGGAGGGGAGTAAAAGCCCCATAAAAACCATACACTCTTAGAAAAGAGTGAGCAATATCCGGGAAAGGGAGCGAAACTGGAGGTAGCGATTATACTCCTCAAAAACGAGGAAGTACAATCGATAACTACTCTTTTATATGAGCAGAATCCATAACTTTTTTAAGAGCGCAAAGCGAGGGAGGGAGAGTACTTTTCAAACCAGTAGAAAAAGTTAGTGGTTATCCTCAGGAAAGAGAGAGGCGAACGACATAACTCCCCTGTTTTTAGGGAGTAAAATCGCTAACTCCAGTTTCGCTCCGTTTCTCGGAAATCGCTCACTCTTTTCTAAGTGTGTACCATCCGATCTCTTTTCCCCACACTCCCCTCCCCACCTGGATATTACGTTTTCAAAAAAGATCCGACAGCCACAACGGCGGAAAGTAAGTGTGTAAGTGTGCAAAACTTATTCAGGCAACGTACCTTTATCTCATCAAACAAATCGCTTAGGATTCACTATGGTCTCAAACACAGATGCAATTATCCGCAATTAATGCAGTGACCTATGAGGAATTGGTAGAAAATGCGCTCGCTGTTTCACTATTTCTGTTCTTTTTTTTCATTCCGTCTGCGCGCAGTTGCCAAAACAATCGAAGAGCGAGATGCAATGTGCGTGAACGGTTTTCAGCTTGAGTTGGGGTGTCAGTCACATACAAAAACGGCCGGTCTGTCCCCTTTTAGTCCTCCCAACTGACGGATCTGTAGCCGACAAAGGGTGAGAGCAGAGGCTCGTGGCGGCGGTGTTGACGGAGTTGCTGGCCGAACTTGTAAAAATGCCTCATTTTGCATCCTATGCTTCTTACGAGGGGTGTTCAAAAGTAACAAGGATAGTCTCGTTATAAACAAGTATATGCTTGCATTTGGCTGTACAAATGAGGACAAGTTCTAAGATGTCTCTCGATGTTCCTGAAAATGCTTGAGCAAATGCTACATTGGAGCCAGTCTCGTTACTAGTTGAGTGGGATTTCGTCCTCTTATATCATTTCGACGCGATGTGGACGCGAATAATAAAGGGGGACTATCTCAACACTCTAAGAAAATTCCGAGCGTTTGGGGAGTAAAAAGTGAGCACACCGTGAGCTTTTCGAATTTACTCTCTTATTACTTATCAAATGCTCCCTCATCGCTCGTATTGAAGTGAACACCTCGAAGTTCTTCGCCGGGCTACTAGATGGAGATAAGGGTCTCGCTTTTCGCTCAGTACACAAAAGTTCCCTTCCCTCTTTCCCTGGAATCGTCCCTCGCAGTATTGTTTCTGTGTTTCATTATAGGAATCAATAAACATGGACACTTCATCATTTGTTATCCACATACTCAAGACGTACTCATAGAGTCCATGCCATAAACAAGCTCATATTCCTATTGAGAACCCCCTTGGAATGCGGGTGATTTTATCCACATAGAAGATCTAGAATGTGTAGAGAGTGCTCGTGAACTTCAATCCCCCATACCCCAATAAATGAGATGATAAGGACTGATATCCCAGACTATTCCACGGAATCAATAAGAAGTGGTCCGCCCTCCGACGTGTGATGTAATCAGTGCAGTCAGAGGTAGGTCAACGCATGCACGAGAGAGATAGCGACACACAGTATATAAGGAATTTTTCGTATTTGCACGACATCCCTATCACTTTCTGATGGAAGCGCTTTTACTCACGGAGGAGGAGCGCAATTTTACTCCTTCATGATGGAGTAAATTTGTTCCTTTCCCAGAGTGAAAGGGGGGTGAAACTGGAGTTAGCTATTCTGCTCTCTTTTTTTTTAGAAAAATCGCTCCTCTTTTTCTAAGAGTGTAGAATTCTGAGTTTGTTCAGGTAGGCCTATGACGTACGAATGACGGATTTTATACTTTCTTAAGTTGGATGATTATTTTTCGGCGGAGGGGGATAATTATATTGTACAGTGAAGTGGGGTATATAGGGAATAGTGGGGTACAATGGGGTATAGGTTGCATGTCTCGCCCTGGGCAGGTACTCTAGGTTGGTTAGTTAGGTAGGTAACTACAATTGGTTTCGCAACAATCTTGGAATTATAGCTTTAAATACGAATTGGTAATATTAAATGAGTGCCGTTAAATTTATTTGGTTCGATGGTGATGGTGTGGAAGAGGATGATATTCAAAGGAGAAACTTCCTAAGGAGAATTCTATTCTGTGCCAACGTTTGCTATCATGAGGGCTGTTTTGTTTCCCCATAATCAGATAATCATAGTCAGGGAACTATTCAGGGAGTTATTTTTTATGGCTGAAAAAGCATTTCCCACCTTCAGAGTACATTGCGTTAAAGTGACAAAGAAACAGAGGAAACAACAGTCCGTGGTAATTTTCTCCCGGTTTGATTTCGAATGTGAGGGATTTCATAATTAGGCGAGAATGAGACCTTCATTGGTTCTCATTTGTCCACTCCGAAGTAAAATTGAAACAACTAATTTATAGGGTTAAAATGCTATGCTCTTTCCTTAGCAAAAGAAATTTCCTCTTGTGTCATCCTTCTTCCTCTTCTTCTCCTATTCAAAGGCTTCGTCGAATGTTGACCACTTTTACTTCGTTGACTAGAACGACCGTACCGCAGACTCAGCTGATGCCTGAAAACTCGGGCTGCAATGATATGCGAAACTGGGCCGTACTGTACTTATGCTCCTTTTTTTCTATGAGAGCCCCCATTCGGACGACCTTGGATGCCTGCGAGTGGAAAGAGCAGTCGCGACACAGCTACAGGCAGTATAAACAGATCGTCTCCTCCCATCTTGCTCGTCAGTCTTCTGATTAAGTAATCCATGATGCCGTGGTGCTTCAGGGATCTTCCCTTCAAGAAGAAACGTTATATCACCTTTGCCATATCCTTTGCATCCAACTTCATCGGCGGAACTGAGTTCGGTGAGTTTCAGAGTATCACGCAGGGTGGTATCCCTGAATATGTCTATCTTCGGCCAAATTAAACCCTCAAATTTCAGATCCGCATGTTAAGGTATGGTATTTCTAATGGTACACAGTTGATGAGGCTATACAGTTCCTTCCATATATTTTGAGCAGCTTTCTTTCCCAATAATTGCACAAAAAGAGCTTCATATGCTTTAAAATGGTGAGAGACCGGCATTTTCTAGTAGATGTCACCATCCCAAATCTCATCGTTGTTAGTCCAATGCAGTCGCTTTCGCGAGTCAATCTTCCACTTGCTCGAAAATGAACTCTATGGGAATGCGGAAATGAGGGACTCTCTTCTGGAGGAGGTTCGAATACTTGATCCGAGTGCATGGTTACGGCCTGACTGTTACTTGTATTGCATATAATGGCCATGCCCATCCAAACATTTTCATGGGGTTGTGGTTTGAGGCTTTTGCGAGTCAATTGATCGGCTGAAATTCTGAACGATGTTGGGAAAAGGGAGCCAGCTTTGAACGCCTCCAATCAGAAGCAATGAGCAATGAGTTGCGAGTTATGTTTGCAACAATGAGTTGCGCGTATTACGTTGCATATTTTCTGATGCAATATCGCCCAGGACTCGCTTGGAGTTTCTTCGCGACACCCATGGCGTTGAAATAGTTTAAAATTATGTTCATGACATTGTCGAATCGTATTGTTTAGAGTTTCACGGAATCCTCCTGCGTCGAAGTTATGAGTTGCTTCGGCTTCCCGGATGGAAAGATTGTACTTCGGTAATCTCTGAAGAGGGAATTCCAATGAGATGGAGGCATACTTTAGATGCAGTAGAATCAGAGATAGGAACCAAGACCATTTCCTGATGGTTAACAGCATCTATAATTGCCAATAATTATTAATTAATAATAATTGCCAATCATTGTGGGCTCTTATATGACTGTGTTCATGGCGCCCATGTCGAGAGGCCCATGTCGACCGGTCTGCATATCTGGACGAAACTATACGTATGAGGGTAAATCAAAAAGTAAAGGGAAATTTCTTATAAACATTTATTTAGAAATGATACAGGCTTACAAAGTAGCACATTTCTCCGCATAATCTCCGGACTTCATTACACAAGTTTCCCACTGCTTTATCAGATTGTGGATCCCGTCAGAATAAAACCTTTTTCGGTTGCTGTCGAAGCCATGCTTGCACAGCATCCATTACCTCATTGTGGCAGGAAAATCGCCGACTTCGCAGAGCGTTTTTGAGTGGCATAGAGGGGGAAGTCTGACGGAGCAAGGTCTGGGCTGTAGGGAGGATGTCTTAGAGCTTCGCAGTTCAAATCCTGTAGAGTCTCTACAATCAGGGAAGTGTGTGACCGAGCTATTTAAAAAATACTACGAAAAAAAACTCGTATGAAACTCACTTAGATCAAAACTGTTACTAAACTGTGTTATTGTCTTGTTGACTGATAGTAAAGTAAACAACCTAACCTGTTTCAACCAGAATAACCAACTTTCTGAGATAAATAAATAAAAATTCCCTTTACTTTTTTATTTACCCTGGTAAAAACGGTGAGGGCTTGGTTGGAAATTGACTCTGTCCAAGCCAAGCAAATCATGCTTCAAAAATGAGAAAAAATGAAAGGAGAAAGGTGCTTTGGCAAGGGGGGCTTCTCCATGGTTTGCATTTTCGTTTATTGGGTGAATCTCTATCTTCAGAAGATTTATGACTTCATAGGAGATTGCTACATCAATAAATATTGTTTCCTTCCATTTCAGAGGTGTAATATTACGTCGAATCGAGGTATCTGTGCCACACGGGATCCCAAAGTATTCATATTTTCTGTCGCACCAAAAGGTTTTTTTTGAGGCGAAGTTTTTAAACTTACCATACATATTTTACCATTCCACCAGCGATAATCCTACCGTCAATATGGAGGTACCTGCAGCAACTGGGTGTCACCAACGAGGCGTATCTTGGCCTCGTCACCTCCTGTGAGCAACCGAATTCCTCATTGCAAATATATAATAGGGAACAGAACAGTTAAAAGAGTTTGCCCTGTCATAGCGTTCAGCTTGGCGTCTCTCTTCTCGGGGATGCTGGTGGGATACTGGACGGATCGGAGCGGGGACGTGAGGAAGATCGCCCTCTTCATGAACCTCTTCCAGATCGCTGGGAATCTCTTCTACTTCATCGGGTTCTTCCCTTGGATCCTCCTCCTCGGCCGATTCATCTCGGGTAACAAGTTCATCCAATCCCAACGTTGTATCCTCCACATCGCCGTCCTGTCTATTGACTTTTCTTCTCTTAGGGATCGGAGCTGGATTGAATACAGTAATGTACGCCGAAGTGAGCCGATCGACGACGGCTGAAGAGAGGACTTCCGTTTTGACTTGCATGTTTGCCTTGAGGCAGTTGAGCATGAGCTTCGCTCCCGCCTACAATCTCGCTATTGCCGTAAGTCCCATCGTATAATCAACCATAACTTGGATTCCATGTACCATGGCCATAGCCTAATGCAATTTTATCCAGATTGAACACTAGAATTACTTTTTTTTATAGCCTATGTCTTTCGTGAAATTCTTCTGATACGTTGGACTGTCATGCATAATATGTGATGTGTTTCCATGTCCTTTTCTGGTGCACTTTCCCTTCGCTATTTGCAGAACATAAATTTCCAATTGGGAGGGATCCAAGTGACGGAAGAGAATTTCCCTGGACTCTTGATGGCAGTAATCTGCATCATCTTCGAGTTCGTGTTTTTCTTCTTATACTTCAATTTGTCCGAGGAGTTCCAATTGGAGGAGAAGAGGCGGATGGCGAGGGAGGCTCAATCTTCTTATGGTGCATGCGACTCTAGAACTTCACTCGGAGAAGAACTGGAAAAGGAACTTCTACAAAAATCATTTTCATCTCCTGATTGCAAGACCGGTCTTTCCCTTTCATCTTTATTCACTTTTCCTCTCAGCTAATAAAAAAGAACATAATAGATGTAATATGCAACGGAATCCAAATAGAACTTCCGGAACTTTTTCCCCATTTATTTAATATTTTTGTGAGCAGAAGAGGGAGAAGAGGTTAGGAGAACACGAACGTCATTGGCAGCTCTAGATGTCGCCAAGTTGAAGGACGAACCACCCTTTAAAACCCTAGAGGTTTATCGACGAGGTACAGTCTAGGAAATTCTATACACGATAATATTGTGATGCGAAAGCAGGAAAACATGTTTACATCTCTGCTTGCATGTTGCGTATGTTGATAGAGTTCCTGAAAGTCTCGGTAATTGCCCTACTGCTCTCGCAGATGACGGCCTATCTCTGTCAGACTCTCATCGAGGTAACATGATGGATATACCCCTTCAGCACAATTTTAAGAACCAGCTGAGTTCATTTAGCTGTTTTTTCGCAGACGATCATCCCACCAGTGATGCAGATTGACTTCGGGCTGGGGAATCGAGAGAATAGTTACCTGTACATGGCGACTGGCGGAGAGAGCCTCGTCATCTACGTCATAGTCATCCTGGCGTCCAAATGGGGAATCCAGGAACGAAGCATGATCCTCTGTGGTTCTGCTGTCATTGTCTATGCCCTCGTCCATAACCTTCTCCTAGGCCTCTATCTCCTCCCAGGTCTGTTTTTCACGGAGACACATAAGGCCATGATGTAACATGGTAAGATGTTGCTCCTCTTCTTTCTCAACTTCAGAATGTATACCTGGTGCAACTCAAACATATACATTATTGATCGGGTCATCAGAGCAAACAGGGATTAAGCCAGAGATGCTGCGATGAATAGGAAGTTTACACGACTGAGTTTGCATATGAAAAAAATTGCAGATAAATAACCATGCTCAGGGACTAAGTGAGTCCTTAGAGGGTTCTGAGGAATGAGATGGAAAGCGGAGGAGTAGAGATGGGAAACGGACAGAAAAATGTAGGATGGCTGGAGGGTTGTACTCCATGAGGTGGCTTCAACGTTCTTAGTAAGACAACATCTGCAAATATATTAAATGCTCGATCTCAGGCATGAGTAAGCAAAAATCGTGACTTTCTCAATATCTGCGTGAGTAAAATATAAGAATGATACACTGTCGAATCATAGACTCTATTATATAAGCTTGGTATTCACATGTGGAAAAGGAGAAGCATATAAACTTGCTTAGGGAATATGTCAGTCCTATAAGAGAGCGTAATAAATAAGACCTAACTAATATGAAAGAATTAAAACACGTTCAAATAAGGATTCTTGGTCATTAATATTTTATTAATCACATACACCGATGATATACTATATTGCTTTTGCATTTGTTGCCCAAGTTTTGACACTGCTGCCACCTAATTAAGCATTTCCAGACCAACTTTCCGAATTATCCATCCGTTTCTAATCTCTTCCACCTGATCTTACACTTTATGCCCTTCCTAACATTGAAAGCCTGTTTATGCCCATGAGTTTTGCTTCTGTCTCTGTTTCCTATTCTAATGCAGATTTGTCTTCATACAAGCTTGTTTTGTCTTCATTTCTTTAACTTTCTTTGAAAAGTATCTATGGTTTTATACAGCAAAGATAAATTCCGGTACACCAATAAGGTCTGCGGTCACAGAAACTTGTTATGTGCAATCTTCCCGAGCATGTAGAAGTAACATGAAATTTGGTGGAGGAAATGGGAAAAAAGTCTTCAATGATCTGCACCAGAATAAAATGTTTGTATCAGGTTAATTCATAAATAATTTCCGTTTGTTGCCAACTGTTTTGAAACGATTGTAACTTGTTTCAAGTTTTGACGCGATAAATCGTGTTATATGTCATTCGATCGAGAAAACTGTAGACTTTTTGATAATATGCAATTTATTGTCTTTTCAATTTTATGTTGAAATAATAAGGGTAAAATGGATGATGAAAAAAACGCATATTCGGCAGTGCATTTTGTGGGAGTTTCAACAAGGCTCAAATGCAACGGAGACAGCGAGGAAGATATGCACCTTCTTTGGAGAGGACACCATCACTGATCACCAGTGCAGGAACTGATTCACAAAGTTTCGGTCAAGAGAATTATCGCTCAAGGATGAACCACGTCCTGGTCGCCTTTGGAGATCGTTGAATCGAAGCCAACCCACGTAAATCCACCTAAGAATTGAACGAAGAACTTGGTACTTCCCAACCGACCGTATTTCGCCGCCTTCTTGCTCTTGGAAAAGTCAGCAAGTTGGGACCATGGGTTTTACCTGGGTTAGCCTCGATTAACACTTCCAATGCATCGCTATCGAACTCCGAAGGGCGACCAGGACGTTGTTCATCCTTGAGCGATAATTCTCTTGACCGAAACTTTGTGAATCAATTCCTGCACTGGTGATCGGTGATGGTGTCCTCTCCAAAGAAGGTGGAAATTGGAGAAATTGGAAAGACAATAAATTGCATATTATCAAAAAGTCTACAATTTTCTCGCTCGAATGACATATAACACGATTTATCGCGTCAAAACTTGAAACAAGTTACAATCGTTTCAAAACAGTTGGCAACAAACGGAAATTATTTATGAATTAACCTGATACAAAGGCCCATAGGGCCCACCAAATATGTATTGCGCCATGAACTTAAATTAAATTTAAATATTCATTTGATCTTTATTCTAACCTTTTACTGGACAATTGCATAGGTTGGAATGCAATTATGCCTAATTTTGTGACCGAAAGTACTCTGATGCCAGTAATTACAGTCGTTTCAGTATGTTTGCGCAAGTCAAGGGAGAAGTGATAATTCGGTGCGGCAGGTCGATCATAATAAATGCTATCTAAGGAGTGTGTGGGAAGGAATGAAATCTGCTAGAAAGAGACGGTCAGTGCTTTACGCCCTTTAACCCTCACCACTCGGGATCTGCATGCAGATACGCCGGATCTCCTGCCGTATTTCGTCGCGGGCTGCATGGTCATGTTCGCGGGAGTACCTGCGGTGTGCGTGTGCACCATGTGCCTGACCACGAAGCTCGTCGATCGACGGGCTCAGGGACTTCTACATGGTGTCCGTCGAGCTTACAACTCCATGGGAATCGTTATCGGACCTCTGTGGGGTGGAGGGTTCGTCTTTGAACCTATTCCCCTGTACATCCTCCCTCTTGCATTCGTTCTCCTCTATGCTGTGAGTCCCATCCTTCATATGTACGTAAGAGTACGAGCGCGCGAAAGACTTGGATAGAAAAGTTTCCCCATATTTTTCATTCTAGATTCATTATTTCGTTTCTGCCCTCAAATTACCTCCACGATGATGTAGTTCACTTTAGATATGCTGAATGTCGTTTATGCGCAGCGACAAAACGCTGCCGTCGAGGTTGTTGGGGTTTTTTTCATCGAAAGCATGAGTCCCATGAGAAAAATGATACGAATTCATTTGGGATACACTGCAGACGCCTTCTTCACGCACGTGCAAATTACAGGTAACGTGATCAATGGCGTCACGCATCCTACAAGTCTTCCCGTCCTCTCAATATATTGAGAGGACGAGATGATGAAAAGATGGCAAGACGATGAGAAAATGCAGATTCGTTAGCTGCATGCGGATGTAAATGGGTGATTTGAGGAACAAGCCTTCCCCCTTTATATTTAATAGAGACACAATTATCTATTCAGAGCACTTATAAAGTATCGTCAAGTTCATAATCAAATTTTAAAATCATGACCAGATTCAAGGGAGCGACAAGGTTCCCACGAGGAAGAGTCACGCCTAGTACCTGCCAATTCGTGAGATATGGGGTGTGACAGGGTGGGAACGACAGTTCATATGCTGAATTCCCATGCCTGTGACCGAAGATTCATGTGATCGCAAGAACGAGTCACATCCCTTCTCACTCCCAATCCCATGTGACTTCGGGTGTGATAGGGTGTGAGTTGGAAAATCACATGGCAGATCACATGCCTCTCACATGTGACACAGCATGTGATCGGGGGTGATTTTTCCGTAAGGGTAACGGGTAACCAAAACTCCCTTATGTTTTCAAAATCACTTGCTGGGAAGATTTCAGCTTGACCTTTTTGGACTCTGGAATCCAGTTCACAACTGAAACACACATCTCTTACAATCCAAGACAGATTTGGAAAGATACTGTCACTTCCATTGTGAGGATCATTCCTGCTCCGAAAAAACAGCAACATTAGAGTATAATAACGGACATTACAGGTCTTACTAAGAGATAGGCAAGCATGAGCTGCACTGTTAGAATTCGTCCAGAATTACAGTTTGATGACATCGGAATCTAGATTTCGACGAACTGGAAGGACATGAAAGGCAGATGAACCATGTATTCCAAGCTAACAATTAATACTGATAGAGTATTGACTGCATCACATGTAGGGGAATCGCCTAAATTTGAAGTTCTGAGGCAGGGGTGTCAAACGGGCCAGTCCATTTTGTCCGGCCCTCGAAGTCCTCTTCAGCAGTTGGTTACAGAAAATAACTGCAAATTTCAGCCTGTTCGCATTAAAGATAAGTTGTTACATTTTTGTTGTGGCCCCTAATCACCCTCGAAGGCTCCCATCCGGCCCCCAAACTAATCGAGTTTGACACCCCTGATCTAAGGGAATGGATGGATCTACACTATTAGGCGATCCGTGAAAGTCATGCGAGCTTGTCAATCGAGTCCATTCCCTTTCTACACTCTTTTCATTGAGCGTGTCCTATTAATTTAGAGATCAATATAAATTTTCACCGCTGGCTCATTTAACGTTGACTCTCCTGCAAGGAAAACATTGAAGAATGTTGGACATTACCCATTGTTCCCATTTTAAGCGTCCTTACACAGGGTACTCACGTGAGAATTGCGGGATACCAAAATCGAGAACGCAGCAGTACCGAAAAACGCAATACAGATAGTCTAACATAATCCGTCAGGACAACCTCTGTGTGCAATTGAACTTTGACTGCTGAATTTCTTTTCTTTCCCTATTTCTTTTATTCATTTATCGACACCTTATTACGGCATTTCCACTTCCAATGCTGACAGCTGGAAACTGTACCCCAGAATTCCTTAATGGAATGCAAAACGATGATAATGAAACGACAAGAAGCCCTGCTGGTCTTTTTCGCAGAGATCTACCTCCCAACAGTTCTCGACATCATTGAGTTTCCGCACGTGAAAACAAAATATGCTAATGATGAATGAGATCCCGGGTTTTCCGGCCTTCTCGTGCCGGTTTCTTTGGTTCCCGGCTTTCGGTGGACTATGAACTATATAATACTGCATCAATTCTATAATTGAATTAATAAACTTTGAATACATTTAAATGTAAACCCTGCATCTGTAGGGTTTCCTCCAGATATTCTTGCATGAAAGAAGCACAATAAGTATTACTCACGTTAGTAATTGTTCAAGTTTACATAAATATTTCATCTCTAAACCTGGAATAGGTGCTGCTCCTGGTCTCTTTCAAGAAGCTCTGGATGCCCAGATGAACTACAAAAGGACTCCTGTTTTGAGTTTTTTCTGTCAATTTTTTCGTGACTATCAAGTTCGCGATTAAGTTGTGCCCATAAAGAAATTAAATTTTATGCAATCGGTTGGAAATTTCTTGAAATGAGACTGAGGCAATCCCTTTGGAACGCAGAGCCATGCTAGATGGAGGAAAATGCTGAATATCGACATTCTCCACGAATCCTCGCCATGCCTTGTAATCCCCTCGAAACTGTATTCCCTTGGACCCGAGAACAAGCCCATATTCCTTACTCAAGTTCAACAGAACCGGATATGAATTTTCTTCATCGCGCAGAAGCATGTGATCTGCTGATAGGAATTAACCTAATAAATCACTTTCTTGTTGAATGTAGAAAAAAAAACGACTGAAGATGAGATTCATGAGGAAATTTTTTTTAGTATTCTAGGACCTAAATGAAACCGCCTGGTTCTTCCACCAAAATATGGAAAAACCATACTTCAATCCTTTAACTTTTCCAAAGCACGGGTAAAATGGAAAAGAATCCAATCCTAGAATTTGTCAGTCGAGGGCCGGTACATTTTATTTTTGCCCTTACTGCACTAATATGATAGGTTCAGAATTAAGCATATCAGCTACACCATTCATTAAAGGATTAAAGCGTTTGTTTGCCTAAACCAACAGAGGAAAATTTCTGAACTTAATAGAAAAAAAACATATAGATACCTGTTTCGACATACACAGCAGGAGATTTTACCGTTATTTAGATATAAACAATCCCAAATTTATTCTCCACACGCAGTACTCTCCAGTTGAATTTCTCATCTTCTGCTTATGATTCTCTCTTGGGAGAAATTATATTCACCAAATTACTCCATGAGTTGTTCAATGGGAATTCCAGGCGTGAAACTAATTCTGGAAGGAAAGAGAAGTTCACCTCGATGGAATTCATAGCATAAAATTTTATTTCAAAATTCATCATTGGCACAATATTATTCATAACGTGACTAATTCTTTTCGCCATTAACATTTTACAAGTTGAACGTGCTCAATAATTGAGAAGTGACCAGGAAGAAGGAAAAGCTTTGAGGAAAATAAGAAACACATGCAGACACCAACTTCGCTTCACAGCTTAGCCTTCGCATCAATTCTTGCACCGAGACTCTCATGTTCCTGGCATTCTTCAATTGTCACATTCAGTCCACAACTGCCGTGAATGGTGAACGTTAATGTCATGGAAGGCACCTCGAGCACCAAGAACAACAGCCACGCCCTCTCTCTCCGCCGATTCGCATAAGTTCACGTGCCAGCATTCGTCCTTCGATGAGATACAAGCCTTTCTCAGGAGACAGTGATCCACTCTGTAGTTGAATCTGCACGGGATGATCGTGAAATTATGGGCATGTCGATGGAAATAGATGTTGAGGATGTCTTGGTCGCCAAGCGTCAACTGACCCTTAAACGTATTGTATATGGAGCTTATTTCCGACGACCAGGCAGGTCCAAGTAATCTCATCCGGGTAAGGTTCATCAGCAGAATCCCCGCATTGATGCCAGTAGGACCGTAGAACGGGAACGGGGTAGTAGGTTCCCTGTAATGACTGTATTCTTCAAAATCCTCCAGTTCCTTAGTAGCACCGATGAAGGACCACGGACTCATTTTTTCAAATTGCGCCCAGAGTTCTTCCAAAGGCGCCAAGAAGACAATGTAGGTGTCTTAGTAAATCACAGAATCGTATTCGGGCAGGAGATCCGGGAGGAAAAGCCTGAGAGCAGCACAGGGTTTGTGATGGATGCTCTTATTCTCTATGTCCTTAGGGAATTTCACATCCCTTAATTCATAGGTCTCAAAATTCAATGATATTGGGAGGTGCCCCTCTAAATATTCCCGTGCCTCGGAGTCCACAAATCCGATGGCGTGGAATGTCCTTGTACTGAAGATGGAGCGTGAATGGGGTAAGAAAATGACTTCGAAGATCTTGAGACTTCTTGAACAGAAGATAAAGACCAATATCAATGGAGTATCGATTCCATTCAAGCATTTAAGATACTTTCCCTGAAGGGGGCATTGCATCGTGAATTAGGTATGGGACACGGGATTTTAGAGGCTCAGCACCGCCACTTCAAGGTCCGCGAGACCATATTCTCTCTTGGAAAAATGGAAAATGTGAGCCTTAACTCGTAGTTGATTTTTCTTCAAATATTCTCGTAAATTCTTTGCTCCTGTTCCTTGAAAGCGAAATAATATCAAGCTGTTTTGGAAAATGTTCCCTTGGTCTGCCAACATGATCCATTCTTCGAATTCGATCATGAAGGAATGGGAATCCTGGACATTCATCATCATTTTCATCATCCTCATCTTTGTGCATTTTTCTATAGCACATCCACAGCCTGCCATGATCTTAGGAAGAACATACTCTTCTTGTTCTACAGCTTTATTTTCAACCTAGACTAATCGGGACAGGGAAATCGTGATGAATGTTGCTGAGGAGAGGCACACTTGCGGTATTCCTACCTTCAGAGGTGCTCACGAAATGAGAAAGGAATTATGCCCAAACTTTTGCCATATGCGGAGCATCTTAGAAGCACATTCGCAAGAAAGACTTGACTCGGCGCCACGGAAATCGACGTAATTCTCCTTACATAGAATGCACGGATGTTGCTCATTCCTCTCTGAAGACTTCTGACCGTAGACGCCTTTCTCGCAGTGAGCAACGTTCACTTTTAGAAGTCGCAAGGAGTGTTCTGCTTTTAGCAAGGATATCACTAAAGACGAACTCAACCCTCATCTTGGTTATATGTATCAATGCAACTATTTTCTCGGCACCTTATGGCGAAAACTTTTTTACAGTATTGTGCAGACCGACAGAATTGGATTGTAAGTGGCATCTTTCTTCATTTAAAGAAGACTGAATTAAAGTGAAAGAGGATACTCATGACTCTATTTAAACTGACTATTTTTCGACTCATGCTTTCTTTGTTCGGCAATAACTAAAAGCATGCCACGTGGATGCGACGGACCGAGAGAATGGACGAGATCAGACTGCCTCGTACTGCCGGAATGCTTCACCTTTCACTCTCCTTCAGTATTTGTTTCTCCCTCCGGATCTCGTTCGCTCGCCGGTGGGTCATCGACTCTTTGAATGGATCACGGGCTAGGCTGAGAGGAGACCGATGAGGTTTGACTCCCATGCGCCTTAGTAATTTTTTCCTCTTAAAGCCTCCGGTTTTATTTTTCCGTCCCCTATTGAATTTGTAGGTGTCCGTGAGTAAAAGCTCGAGGATTCCGGATCGGTAGAAGTAAGCTATGCGCCACACGCTTCCACGTTCATTAATTTCCTACACAACTTACGAATGCAGATAAAACGACATATTTTGCATTAATAGCATTTAAGAGCGCATTGCACGCGTTGAGGGATTCGCCTTTGCACGCACTCACTCGTGATGTAAGAAACAGCAACGCTTTAGCGTGAACTTCGGCTGGACCGACTGCGAGAATTAATTTCAGAAGTATTTACTTCCTCGATCGTCTTTAGGCTTATTTTATGGAAATACGATTTCGCAACATTGAGGTGAAGTGAAAATTTGACATCCATGGAAAAATGTGATCTAATTTAGATCCATTACTTGGTTTTGCCGGGACAGTTCATGCTAAGCAGCTCTTGCTTCCTTTTTTGGGTAAAAATAATAGGAAAAAAGGGGAGATGAGGACCGATGGGTCCGATCGCGTCCAGCTGTCGACTTCGATTTCTTAGTTAAGATTGATTTATTTGACATTTTCGGAGCATTTGAAACGTATCAAACTTTCAATACAACATTTGACTCGTGTTTCGGCGCGATGCTCTAATTGTGATTAATCACAATAAAGGGCTTCACCTCGATATTTGTATAATGAATCCCTTCATGAAACTGTGCAAGTCTCAAGCTGATCTTTCTGAGTTCGCCCATGTTCTTAAATGTTTATAGTGCCACATACGTAGTTTTATCTGCATTCGTTAGTTGTGCAGGTAATTAATGAACTTGGAAAGAATATGGCGCATCGCGTACTTAGACCGATCCGGAATCCTCGTGCTTTTATTCATGGGCACCTAACAATATATAGATAAGTAGGAGAAGGAAAAAAATTCAAAGCATTCGAAAGAGAAAGTGATTCTGGCGCATGCGAGTCAGACCTCATCGGGCTTCTCCAAGCCTTGACCGCGATTCATTCCGAGAGTCGTTGACCGACCGGCGAGCAAACGAGAGCCGGAGGGAGAAACAGCGAGAGAAGAGAGAGAGTGAAAGCCCTAAGCATCCCGGCAGTGCTAGGCAGCCCGATCGGGTCTCTGCCCTCGGACCCGTCGCATCCGCTCCTTATTGTTCGATATTCGAGTCTGTTTCGTTATGAATAAGGGAAGTGGAAAGGCAGAACGTGTGATCGTCGACTGCGGAAAGTAAGTGAGCCTTGCAGACAGGATTCAGTTTTCTAATTAAAGTAAAACCGAAAAGAGAGCCATTGATGAGAGGAAACGGGATCTATTTTCGGGGCATCATTCGAGTCCGTTATCCTTTACTTGGCAGTGGGAAGAATTCTTCTCGGTATACTTTTGACTCTCCTAGTACCCTGAGAAGTTTTCTTCGCACTCGCACTATCTACCAGTGGTCAAGACAATTTCGGGCTATTTTTCCATCCGGCGCCCCTGATTCCTGTAGAGAATCCTTTTTGTAGTAGATATGTAAGCATGCGAATTATTCAGGCAATACTTGTAAGAAGCAAAGTGTTTCACGATAATTACGAGATAAAATTTGGTAAGAAATGCGAGAATCATTTCCTTTATTTCCTTTTGAGACTATTTGTAATGGTCAGCTCTCGGTAATATACCTGTCTTTATAGTACATTAAGTTTTACTGAGAATATGCCTATGTTATGCGTGATTCGTGTAACTTCTGATAGCGCGCATTGGAAAACGTTTTTTGCCTATTTAATGAAAAATGCAACCATTATGCTCATTGCATGGAATGAACAATTTTCTTGCAAAATCAGTGCAATAGACCAAGAAATGCTGCCTATTACACGTCTTGAGCCATCACCAAAATGATTTCATACGTAGTCAATTACATTGAAAACATGTGACAAATTTGTTGAAATGATGCGGCCATATAAGGAATTCATGGCCATTTGACAATACCTTCCACAAACAATATTCAGTGGTGATTCAGGCAGGTATTACCATAATGGCATTAACTCTTATATCTAATCCCTCCTTTCTTACAAGGGCATTTTTTGAAGCACTACCTCCCACCTATCGAGATGGCAGTAAAGATTTTGCAAAGGCTTTCACTCGGTGTTATGCTTTGCATTTTTACGATATTCGTTTTTACCAATTCCACCGCGTTCCTTTGCATACAGATGTTGATTGCCCCATCACTTGCTCTGATCTTGTCCTTCCCGTCCTTCCTTTCCAAAACCAATCCAGTTATGTTCGGTGGATCAGTTCGGTCTCGATCAAATTCAGCGACACGGGCAGTAACATTGTTTGAAATAGGTTCATCACCGCTCCGTTGTAAGGGGAGCGGCGGCCTGGCTGTCTCGTTACGCACGTGAGCTGTTTAAACCCAGCTCAGCGCCCACGCGGCAGTTGTGCCACAATCTGAGAGATAACATAGGGCCTTACAGGAGAGAATGGATACATATTGATTCGGAAAACTTCCTCCTCGGAACTCCACTTGCTTAGCAGGTGAAAAAGCAAGCGGAATGCGCGATAGGCAAAGTTTTTGCTCATTTCATGAAATACGCAAACATTCCATTTTTTGCGCGCATTCGACAAAAACTAGCGCAATGAGTAGTTGCACGAATCACGTATAACGCCTGCTACCTCGCGCATAGAAAAAATATACGGCGAAATATACAGCGGTCTCAATAGTCTATATGTAATAGGAGAATAGTACGTACCAGGGAGTTATAACAAATGCTGCAAATGGCATCCACGAGCCTGCAGACACGCATGAACATACATCTCTGATAAACAGACTGGTCGAAAAATATTGATCCAATAAATCGCGAGATTGCACAACCAACTCCAATTTTCTGATCATGGAAAGGTGTTGCTGGAAATTCATGAGGATTAGAGTTTGACCAAATATCGGTGGTTTTGGCTGTTCACGTAAGCAAATTACTTGCAGCCATATCTCATCGGAACAAAATATAACGCCCAGAACGATGGAATTTGGTACTTGATCTCGTGCAAGAGGATTATTAGACCGATATTTTTCGACCAGACCTGAGACGTCTACAGAAACAACCTCCCACAGTGTCTCAGAATTGAAAGATGCCATCAGGAAATGCATCAGCAAAACAAAACCGATGGGTGGGTCATGGTCTCCAGGAACAATATTCAACATGTTCATGCGCGTGTGGAGGCAAGTGGGTCATTTCCAGCATTTCCTATAACTCAATGGCACCTACACTCTTAGAAAATTCCGAGCATTTGGGGAGTAAAAAGTGAGCACACCGTGAGCTTTTCGAATTTACTCTTTTATTGCACACCAAATGCTCCCTCATCGCTCGTATTGAAGTGAACACCTTGAATTCTTCGCCGGGCCACTAGATGGAGATAAGGATCTCGCTTTTCGCACAGTACACAAAAGTTCCCTTCCCTCTTTCCCTGGAATCGTCCCTCGCAAGATTGTTTTGTACCTTGCCATATGTCTCGCCTAGTCTCATTATAGGAATTAATAAACACGGACATTTCATCATTTGTTATCCACATATTCAAGACGTACTCATAGAGTCCATGCCATAAACAAGTTCATATTCCTATTGAGAACCGCCTTGGAACGCAAGTAATTTTACCCGCATTGGAGATCTAGAATGTGTAGACACTGCTCGTGAACTGCAATCCCTCATACCTCAATTAAATGAGGTGATAAGGACTGATATCCCGGACTACTCCACGGAACCAATAAGAGGTGGTCCGCCCTCTGACGTGTGATGTAATCAGTACAGTCAGAGGTAGGTTAACGCATGTACGAGAGAGATAGCGACACACAGAATATAATGAATTTTTCGCATTTGCACGACATCCCTATCACTTTCTGCTAGAAGCGTTTTTACTCACGGAGGAGGAGAGCAATTTTACTCCATCATGATGGAGTAAATTTTTTCCTTTCCCAGAGTGAAAGGGGGGTGAAATTGGAGTTAGCTATTCTGCTCTCTTTTTTGAGAAAAATCGCTCCCCTTTTTCTAAGAGTGTAAGAACCATAGTACGTCATCGACATTTTTCCCTTCAAAATTATTGGCTTTACACACTCTCACTTGCTGCACTGATTCGAAGTTATTTCTTCAGGATGTGTTTCTTTTTGATGCTTGATATTTCGTGACATGACTGCATGAGAGTCTGCTGGGAGACTGAGAATGGACAGACGGACATACCTCGACCGCAGAGGATACAGAATATAGCGACGTTGGGCGAATTCCGTATTGAATAATTTATACTAGTAGTGGCAGTATCCGTTGATAAGTCACGGAAAAGCATGGCAAGTCTTCGGAATCCACCGCAAGAGGGAGGGAAGGGAGGAATTCAATCGATAAGCGCTGCATAAATTCATTTCATGTTGGTGATGCGTAGACTGGGCTACCAATGTCCGCCAAACTACAACCCGGGTGACTTCTTCATCAACACCCTTGCCATCGTCCCGGGAGCGGAGGAGGAATGTCGTAATCGGGTGGCCCGGATCTGCTATGCGTTCAAAGTCTCGGAAGATGGGAGGGCGATGGAGAAGGAAGTGGAGTTATGCAGCGACGAGGCGTCCAAGGCGAGCCCGAGCGACATGGAAGACACCAACCGGAACGAGATGGCTTTCAAATACAAGGCGTCCTGGTTCGCCCAGTTTCGTGCTGTTGTTGCTCGCTCGTGGACTGCCAACCTTCGAGAACCTTTTGTGATCAAGCTTCGTCTCTTCGGGACCGTGGTCAGTGCTTTTCAAGCATAACTTGCTTTGTGCATCAATTGGCAATACTGTGTGGATGGAAGGACTGAGGGGATCTATCAATGGTCTGGATTCTCCAAATCTTCCTTCTCTCTAAATTCCAGGTTTTCTTTTATTACCCCACGAGAGCGACGTCCTGCGTCCTTGCTCCCTGGAATTTTTTTTATGTTTGACCAGGGAGAAAATCTGCCTACCCTCTCAAGCAGCATGATTCAATAATTGCTCCGATATTTAGCTATATATCCGGCATTCGACACACATACTATGCCGGATGAGGAGAATTTCGAATTTAGGGGAAAAGGTGAAGGCCATTGCATGAACGAAACGAAGAAATCGATCGCACCAGGTAGCCCAAAAAGAAAGTTTCTGTTAGGCGATTTATGAAACCGGCATGAAGGCATGCTAAGTTCAAACATTGTTTACATCGCCTTGGAAACGCCACAACATGAGTTATCTGCAGCGTCTACGTAGGTCGAATAGGAAGCAACAACTGTGAGCAAATTAAGTTAAATTAATCCGTTTTAGCGCCGTTTGAAAGATTTTTCTCATTCGAAGCCATGAGGCCTGTCTTTCCTCATGGCGGTCTTCGTGTCAAAATATTCTCGATTGACTTCAAGCCGCAGCTGAGACTGGCGAAGGAAGAGAATACTCAGTTTCAAATCAAATCGTGTGATCCTTAAAAAAAAAAAAAACAACTCAGCAAAGGATGCAGTTGTAAAAAAGGCAGGATTTCTGGCGACGAAAGTGCCACATACATAGAGAAAATCTGACGTTCCTTACTGAAGCTTGAACGACTGCAGCTCTTTATCCAAACAAACAAGGCAAATTAAACATTCGAGAAACCATGAGTTTTTCCTCTATGATGTGTAAAAATTACAAACCTAAAATTCAAACATTAGGTTTTATAATGCGTAAAGCAATAAATTTTCTCGTTGCAGTCGGTGGCTCTGCTTCTGGGTGTTATATATCTGAGGCAGGGTTACACGGCCGAGGGTGTGATGAATCTGAATGGCGCCCTCTTCCTCTTCCTTATCAACATGACTTACTTGAATTCCTTTGCTGTGATCAATGTGAGTTTCTATCATTGGCAACCAATGTCACGAATGAACATATTTATATAAATATTGATGTTTATATGTATGTGTATATGTACAGTATATGTATATTCATATGCATATGCATACTTATATTTACATTAACATTTATCCTTTGTGCCTGTTGAGTCCTCATCTTCCGTTTTTACCCTTGACGGTCTCTGACGTCCATCTCCACGCATGCAGGTGTTCTGCGAAGAGCTACCCATCTTCTTACGGGAACACCAGAGCAGAATGTACAGAACCGACGTGTATTTCATCGGAAAGACGGTGGCAGAAATCCCGTTCTTCATCCTCTCCCCCATCCTCTTCACGGCGATCGCCTACTACATGATCGGCCTCAACGAATCCTTCGAGCGCTTCCTCGTCTGCAACGTCATCATGGTCATCGTCGCGAACGTGTCCTGCTCCTTCGGTGGGCTTCATTTTTTTTTTTTTAGTTATCGTGCTGGACTTTGATAATGGTTTTGGTTTTTATTGGCAGGGTACATGATCTCGTGTATGGCCAGCACAATCGCCATGGCGTTAGCAATAGGTCCCCCCTTTGTCATTCCGGTCATGATGTTTGGTGGCTTCTTCCTCAACAATGAGTACGTTTTTCGTGTGAAAATTCAGACAAAAAAAAATATATATATATTTTTTCTTAAGTATCAGTACTATGAAAAAGTTAGCTAGTGAAGAGAAGACCGAATCAATCGTTCTTCACTCCAGAAAGTCTCAAGCTCGTGTCCACTGCCTAGATGTGACATGTTTCTGTTTTTCCTCGCTTCACTGCAGCTGGAAGATTTGAAGGGCTGAAAGGAAAAGCATCTACAAAATATTATTTTCTCCAGCTCCCAGTCTATGGTTTATTCATGTCGGCTATGTAAGATCGACATGAATCTCACCGGCCTCTTCGAGCGAGGTCCGAATGGATTCTTTTGTATCTCGTATGAGCACTCGGACGTCACTTCAGACCTTAGTATGGACTTTGGGGCACTCGCTTCTTCTGGCTGCTACATAGCATGCATACGCAAAGGTGCAAATATGAACGATCTGGCAAGACTTCTGCCCATGCGTTTACCTCAATTATTCAACAGGAAAGTGGATTTCCCCATCGTTCATGTCGCATATTTTAGGGAAAAGTGATTCTACGCGTTTTTATTCCTAAACCCCCTTTGCCAAAAATCCTGCTACTGAAACCGAGTTTCTCTAAATGATCATTTCCCATATTTATCGTAGCTCAGTCCCAGTGTACTTTCTGTGGCTGAAATACATCTCGTGGTTCTACTACGGGAACGAGGCCCTCATGATCAATCAGTGGGAGGACGTCAGGAAGATCGACTGCGGGAGGACCGTCGGATGCCCTCCGAACGGGGATGCCGTCCTCGACTCCCTCAACTTCGACAAGGCAAGGATTCCCCAGCCGCTTTTTCTTCTTCTCGCTGACTTTTTGACGAATCTCGGGGTTCTCGTGCAGAACAATAAGACCAGGGACCTGATGCTGCTGCTGGTCCTGATGGCAGCGTTTCGCTTCATCGCTTTCTTGGCCCTCTACGTCCGAGCTTATCGGAGGAAGTGAAATCAAAACGAGCCGCTCTTCAGTCTCCCGTGATCACACACAAAACCACCGCAATTCATTTTAATTTTTATTTTTTCCAGGCCGGGAAGAAACCGGTCCTTGGCCAGAATCGATCCGTTCATATTTGCCATTTGCCAAATACTGTTGAACGTATGATTTATTTTGCTTATTCACATTGTCCAAACACTGCCAGTGACTATTTTAAATTTCACGCATGGAAAGCGAACTTTTGAGGTGAGAAACTGCCGATTTGTTTTGCTCATTTCTCAGGATTGGAAAATATAGTCAATAAAAAGTATTTCCTATACAAAGGCGTTACTGATGTTCTTGAAATGCAGCTCGAATTAAGTGATTCTTGATTTCCTCAAATTAACTGTTTCTTTAATTTTAAATGGTACTAAATTGAGATATTTAACTCATTTAACCCAATCCCCCTTCCATCCCATCTAATCATATCTGTGCTCACATAAAAACAACACGAGGAATTAAAGTGTCTAATAAACACGGGGTGTTCATTAGCACATTTGAGAATTTTCTGTACTCCATTTATTTGAAAACGTACTTCCCTGATTCAAAATTTTCACTTCGAACCTGCTTTTTTCCGGTAAAAAAAATAGGTGTGGGGTTCGTTAGGTAAAATTGAGGCCGTGTCAATATAATGCGTACTTCCTTATTACTTTAAGGCTCGCTTTTCTTTTCAGTTTCAGTAAATTCAGTTTCTTCGTCGTGGCTGTGATGTTGAAAAACAAATTTAACTTAAATATATTAATACAGGACGACTCTCGTCAGTTCTTAGTCGCTTGACAAGGACCTCCCATTAGTACATAAAAAATAAATTGTGACCCTGCTTCTCTTTCATTACGCGGCATACTCTTAGAAAATTCCAAGCGTTTGGGGAATAAAAAGTGAGCATACCGTGAGCTTTTCGAATTTACTCTCTTATTACTCACCAAATGCTCCCTCATCGCTCGTATCGAAGTGAACACCTTGAAGTTCTTTCCAGGCCCCTAGATGGCGGTAAGGATTTTCCCCTAAATTCGAAATTCTCCTCATCCGGCATAGTATGTGTGTCGAATGCCGGATATATAGCTAAATATCGGAGCAATTATTGAATCATGCTGCTTGAGAGGGTAGGCAGATTTTCTCCCTGGAATCGTCCCTCGCAGGATTGTTTAGTACCCTGCCATATGTCTCGCCTAGTCTCATTATAGGAATCAATAAACACGAACATCGTCTTTTATCCACATATTCAAGAAATATAAATGGAGTCCAGGCCATAAACAAGCTCATATTCATATTGAGAACTCTTTTGGAACCTTATCCGTATGGAAGATCTTGAATAAGCAGAGAGGGATCGTAAACTATATCTAATCATACCTCATTTAAATGAAGTAACGAGGGAATGGTATCTTGGACACTCTACGGAACCTATAAGAGGTGGTCCACCCTCTGACGTGTGCTGTAATCAGTACAATCAGAGCTAGGTCAACGCCTGTGCGAGAGCGAAAGCGACGAACAGTATACATGAGAGTTTTCGTATTTGCATGGCATCCCTATCACTGTCTGATGGGAGCGTTTTTACTCACAGAGGAGTAGAGCAATTTTACTCCTTGGTGATAGAGTAAATTCGCTCTTTTCCCAGAGTGAAAGGGGGATGAAACTGGAGTTAGCTATTTTGCACTCTTTCTTGAGAAAAATCCTTCCCCTTTTTCTAAGAGTGCACATGTACAGTATTCTCAGCGGCAGTCACGTTCTGTCCTCCATCCTGATTGTGGTCCTGATTTATCCCTCCATCTTGATTTATGCCTGGTCTTTCGTGAGATCACCGGACGCAACAAAGAAGCCGCCAGACGCTGTGCTGATGATGCGCAAGTGCACTTGAGCATCGTCAAATAACTAAACAAACATCAACAATATTCGCTTCGTTACTTTATCGGAGGCCGCGTTTTTGCCAAAGAGTCGCTTTAGTGAGGCTGCTGTATGCGCGGAGGTTTCAGTCAGAGCGTTTGAGTGAATGGATCACACACGTGTCACACATGTGCCGGTTTGTGAATGAACGAGTCTCTGTAGAATGTAACTAAGTTCAGGCAGTAAATACCTTACCGGAAAGCGATTGCTGTCGTTTACCCAACACGATCGTTGCCTGAGTTCTGAAGGTTGAGGGTTTACTGCGCCCGTGAAACTAAGGGGCCATGCACACTGACAGCGAACACTGCGACCGTCGCAGCTCGTCGCAGTCTGTCGCATTGGGGATGCGTGGGACCTTCACAGTCGGTTGCAGTACGCTTCGCAATGAAATCGGATTCTATTCTGTCGTATCTTCTCAGAGATTCGCGTTGGGTAGCCATCGACTGCAAGTTATGAAATTCGCGGATACTTAAGTTGCCATCATCTACCGCTGATGCTGTTCCACCAAAAGAGCCTTTTGGTGGAACAGCATCAGCGGTAGATGATGCTGATCATCACCATTGATTCTCCATGAACGAGAAACATAGCTTAAAGTAAATAAATCTTCAAGAAAGGTCCCGATACCAATTATATTCTCAATGATTTTCCATTGTTTCAATTCAAGAATTCTAATTTTTTTAAGTCCAGAAACTTCTGTTGATTGAGTGCAAAAACCTGAGTCGTCCCCTCCTTCAGCAGAGTGATGCATGATTTCTACGTATTTGAGGTATTTGGAATATATGTATGGAGCAGGCGTTTCCCCAACTCAATTAAACTGCCACCACTTGCGCGGGGAAATGCATGGGTATGAAGTTTGTGCCATGCCCTCTCTTCCAGCAGATCAAGAAGGGTCTTGAACAGCACAAGAGACATTCTCAGGGACATGCACTCAGAGAAATCGGTAAATCGAGATGAAATACTTCTATCAATTTTCGCGTTTCGATTTATTTTTCTCAAGAGAAAAAGACATCAACTGGATTTTCGATTTATATCTCTCGCTTCCCGACCGTGCAGGGTCGCCTAAAAGGCGTTCGAAAAACCAAAATGCGTCTATAGCCGAGTCGGAAGGGTGTTTGGAGTGGCTGCGCATCGTCTAGACACATGTTAACCTCCATATTCCACTCCATCGTGCCGAGGAAGCCCCCCATGAACCCTCGGGGCAATGCCTTGACAGCCGAGGGATTCACACGCAACCGCCTGAGTGCATGGATTCTTCCCCACTTCACCTTCCCTCCGACCCGTGCGAGTAGATCGTGCGTCTCGAAGGGATTCCCATGTAACTTCTTTCTTCGAGTCCAGTTTCATACGGTGTCTGTATTCCGTTTGGTGCGTTGGTGGTGCAACACGTATCGCCAATATGAGATCCGACTGTTAACGATATATTATTAACTATATATAACTATAAACAATATATTTAACAGTCCTTTAAGAATACATGGATTCCTATGGGAGAAAAAGAGCTCCTTCGCTGAAAGCCCCGATGTCTCCCCTGAATGAGGTTCGTGTATTCGGGCTTTAAGCTCAAAAGCCATTATATTCCTACAATAGTACATGCAATGCAAATTTCGATGCGGCTGAAGTTCATCACGAAATGTTCAATGCGGCAGAAGCGCATGATATACCTGACCTATACACGCAGAATCAAATGAATGCATTTTCGTAGAGAAAAAAGTTGTCCTCTATGTGAGGCGTTTTTATCGCATCCAAAATTCGATGCGATGAAGACGCATCACATGCAGGACAGATTTTTTCGCGAGAAAAATGCATCGAACTGAGGCACTGAATTTTCTGTGTGCAGTGTTTTCTGGAGATTGAATGCATTTTGATGAAAGTACTGAAAGGATTCCATATCACTTCTTCGAAAGACACTTCACCACTTCGACTCGACACTTCTTCGACTGGACGTTTCCTTGACAGGCTCTCGTCAGATGAGG